TTGGACATCCCAGGACATCTGTGGGTCATCCAAGGCAAGTGGCAAATTATTCCACTGAGTCACCTCTCCAGATGAGTTTGGGACTTAGTGAAGAGGAGCCTGACAGTGAGTGTGAACCTGGACCTGACCCTGAGTTCCTGGAGAAGCACCAGCAGCCTCCTTGTTCTAAAGAAATTGTAATTGTTCACCTTCCACTCTTCGTGGTCATTTATGTCTTTTAGAGTGGCCTACTTCCAAGTGAAGGTCCCAGCATTAACCCTTCTTCCACCCCTTTAACTGCACTTCTCCATCTGCAAGGAGGATCAACAGAGGAATATCTGTTCTGCAAGTGGGAGGGACTTTTATTCATTTCTTGGGGAATGGGTGGGCAGACCCCTTTTTCCATTGTATGTAAACATGTGCAGAGAGCACCTGAGCAGTACAAACCCACAGCTCTCTGCCTGAGACAAAACAATCCCATGCAGGAATATGAGACCCTGTCCTGTCACTCAGAGCACACAGGTTCCCTTTCTCCTCAGACTGTTTGCCTTTCTGGCAGCAGTGTGGAGAGTTTTACATCATAATCCCCCAGAAAACCAAAAATCCCAAGCAACAGAGATGATGAAACCTTTCTTCTACTTGCACAGCTTAGGACCAAAGAACATTACAGTTCCTGTCTTGAGTGAAGCCATGCACTGCCTCTGGTAGTGTCTGAATTTATTCAGGAAGGGAGAAGAGACAAGGTCGATGCCTAGAGCTGGTCAAAGTGTTACAGCAAAGATTTCAGCAATATCTCCTTTCTGATCAAACAAAATGTTCCTCAGCTCTGTACTACTTGCTGCAAAACCTAGTGGTTTAAAATACCCTTCTCAAACCATAAAACCAGTGCAAGAACATTTAGATGTTTAGTTTTCAAGTTTTCAAAAGGAAATATCTACGTTTTTCAATCATAATTTTAAACTTTGTGGGTTTTTTTATTTAATGCTTAAAAAAAAGTTACATTAACAATACCAACTAAATGAACAAAAATTAAAGCAAATTTCTCATTTGGCTAAGGAAGGAAGGCTGACAGCTTTTCAGTTCACACACTTTCTAAAGACAGATTGTTTTGAATACATTCAAAGTTCTTCACAAATATTTTGCTGCATGTTTTCAGAATTGTCAGAGCACGAAAAGAGCCCATTATTCACAGAGCTGTGCCAGTAAGTTCCATGACTGTGAGGACTCATGTGGCCTCCAACAGCTGTATTCCATCTAATTCTCCTACTTCAGCTTTGGTTTCCTATTGGTTTGGCAGCCCTGAAGGTCCAGAATATCCTGTGGATAACATTAGGCATGAGAACACAGGTAGAATTTAGTCTGCCTGAAAAACAGCCCTGAATTCATGGACACCTTCCATCTCCTGCTGCTCTTCCAGGAATGATGCCACCCTAACCCACCTCCCTCTCCTCTCTGCCCAGGACTGTGTTCCAGGGGCACAACTGGGCTCTGCCAATGGCACTGAAACCCAAACAGGTACCACAGAGGGGCCAAGGAACGAGGCGGGACTGGCACCAGGGGAAGGGAGGGAGAAGTGTGCCAAGGAAAAAGAAACCTAAAACCCAACTAAATTCTCAGAAAGCAAGGGATGGGATGGGATGGGAGATGCTCTGGTGACAACGGGACAAATGACTCAAAGGGAAGTCACATGAAATATGTGTGTTGCCCAATGTTCTCTGCCATGTCCTCACAGAGGTGTCACTAGGAGGAAACTCTGCTAGATATGTGTGGTCACCTCTTCCCTGGAATTCATCAGAGACTGAAAGAGGAACTAAACACAGATCTGCAAAATGTGTGCTTTCTTATAAACCTTCCATAATGTTGCATTTTCAAATTCAGGCTCAGCTGTGGAGCTTTCTTTTGTGTCTTACATTCAATCCCTATTATCATCATCATTTGGTCCCAAATCCAGAGCTCCTCTGGAATAAATCTCTGACTGTTGGAACAATGAATGCCAAATCACACTCTGTCCAAGAAGCTTAAAATCTAAATGTAGGACAAGAGAGAGACAGAGACAAACAAACAAGGAATGAAAGAGGCCTATGGGACAACTGTGATAAGCAGGAGGCCCAGAACATGGTGTTCCCTGGCACTGCCAGCTCCTTCTGCAGGCATTGTGGCAGAGGAAAACTTTATTCTCTTAGTCCAAAAATAACCTATATTTTGAATGTTTTGTTATAAATCTGGTTTGATCAGACACACAATCTCTGGAATGAGAATAAACATAGGCTATCTTAACAGACAAATGGCTCATTGGATGTTTATCTTCAAGCTGTTTTTCCCAAACAGTTCTATAATCTACACACACATGTGTTTAATTGTATGCTTTAAATGAAATGGCATTCACGCTGTGCCTTAGCCCCACCATCAAAACACACTTTGTGGATAATTGGGACATTTTTATAAAAAATAAAAAAAATAATAAAAACCACTATTGGACATGATCTTGTAACTGTTTGTGGCTTATGAGGTGACAGGAATCAGGTCTGTGCTGTACCTATGGCCTGAGGAAGCAAAGATCTTTCTTTTATGAAAATAGGTTGAATTCAAGAAGATGACAAAGAACCACAAATGACACCATCCAAACTCATTTTTAAGATAACCCAGACGAAACTAAACTTGATGGAAACACTACAACTAATATCAGTAGAGGCAAGCCCTAATTATAGTAGAGACAGTTTTAGAAGGTAGATGTGTTGGCATATTTTATTTACATGGCAGAACTCTGAGATATTCCTATCAAGGTGCAGTTAAAGTGAAGGCTCTGCCTCTATTTGAATCAGCCCCAGAACTCAGTGGGATTTGTTCTGTTCCCCTGCACAGCAAGGACTAATAGTGCAGCCACAGAGGAAGAGGGGAGTTTAATCTATTCCCAGCCTTTCCCATCCAAGAGGGGAATCCCAGGGAGGAAATGAGGGAGCCTCAGCTCAGCCTGCTGGCAAGAGCAGCTCAGGCTGTGTGGGGCAGGAGACAGGAAGGCAAAAAGGCCTCCTGAGGTTAAATGGCCACCAGCAAATTATTGACCTCCCTCAAACTGGAGGAAACAGGGAGGGGTGTGATCCCAAGGGATACCAATTCCTGCTCAGAGTAGCAAAGGCTGATGCCATGTGGATGTTACCCACTGCCCTGGGCAGGACCTGTGGGCACAACTCACAGCACCCTCAGGCACACGGGGGGATTCTTGGGGTGTCTGTGCAGGGCCAGGAGCTGGACTGGATGATCCTTGTGGGTCCCTTCCAGCTCAGAGTATTTTATGATTCTATGATACCCTAGTGCAAAGAAGTGCAAAGGCATCTGAACTTTTTAAACTTAAGTCTGCAGACAGATCTAGATCTGAAAACCTCCCCCTGACACTGCAGTGAGTAGGGGGCTATTTTCAAACAGCCAGGACAGTGGTTCCCCCCCATAATGGAGCCTCTCTAGCACCACCTCCAACAGGACAGATCCTTGTTTCATTCTTCACAGCCTGCAGCTCAGAACACTAAACCATTTTTTCTTTGGGTAACTTGTTCCAATCACCTCTGAGTAATGGTGAATTAAAGCATTTACCATCAAACAAAAAGTCTGGGGGCTGAAATAAGCTGCCAGTTGCATCGAATCAGACTGCAATTAGGCAGACTTTAATAATCTGTGTGACTGCCTGTGCTAAGAGATCCACCAGCACAGCGACCCCAGAGCAGTGCTGTACCACCAGCATTGCCCAGAGCAGGCTGGAAAAGCACTGTCTGACCACTGCTTCCCTGGGGACCTCCAGGGAAATGAGATGTGTCTCATGAGCTTCTCAATCAGAAGAAATTGGAAGAAAAACAAATAAAACTGTTGGTGGTCTCAACTGTGTTTCTTGTGGGCAATCACCCATGTTGCAAAAGCTCTCCCTGTGATGGGCACTAATTGCTCTGCCCTGTGAGAGCTCTTGGTCAAGGAGTCAGAAGTGCAACTGCAACGAAGAGTAAAGGTCAGGATGACAAAAGCATTTAGGCCTTGCCCCAAATAAGGAGACTGAACATCCACCAGAACTTGTGGGGATGCTGGTCTTTGTAGGAATCGCAACCTGGACTCCCCTGACCCAGAAATTTGGGTCAAAATGTTGCTGTTTCAGGTTTTTCTACAGTGGAGTAAGAAAGGCACCTCCAAAACCAGATCAGAGTTTCCACAAGCCTCTAGTTGAAGCAGTTCTTCCTCATGCTCCTTATGGGGAAGCTCTTCTTCATTGACCTAGATGGACCTTTCACTTGAATTTGAGGCTTTGAGCTTCCCTGAACTGAGCTTGCTCTTTTTCCTCCTCTGCATGGTCTGAGCAGCATGAATGAACCTCAGAGCTGTTGCCAGGCAGGGGAGGAACATCCTGAATTCTGAATTGGAGATCCTGATTTCTGAATCAGGCATCAGTGAGCTGTCACAGTTATGGGAAGGTACCAGGCTGACAGAGGTACACACCCTCTGCTGTGAAATTCATGGAGAAGTATCGAAAGCAGAGTGAAAAAGCAGTTCTGAAACTGCCCATTCTGAAAGAAATGAGCTGAAACAGGCAGGCAGTGATTCTCAGGCACAAATGTTAGTTCTCTAATCAGAAAGCAGGTCACTGAGTGCTTCCCACCAACAATGCATTTGTGGTTATGAAAACCTTATAGGCTCAGTTTCCAGTACAAATTGAGTATTTTCATTGCTAGTAAGTTCAGTTAAAATGTGTCTTTTCCAGTGAAAAATACATTTTTAATTGCATTTTTGATCTTATTTTCATTAATTAACATAAAGCTTTGTTTATTGATATGAGTTTTTTTAAAAAAAACTTTTGTAGAAAATACATTTATACTCTGAGGCCCATGTGTAGCTAAGAACAGATCCCAGATATTCCTCTCACTACAGAGATACTCTCAAAACCTTAATTTTAAGGACTTCCTAGTAGTCAGAATCTTGATCTTGAGGGTTCATGGGGAGCTGGCAGAAGGTTCTTATGAAAGACACTGTGAAATGGTGCATACCTGGTGGCAAGGCAGTGGTATTTGGTGTGAGAAGGATCAGCCTTTGCAGTCAGTCATCGCTGCAGCTTTTCCCATCACAGGCATAATCCAAAGCTTTGTTCTTCTGTGCGTTTCCTGCAGGAATCTTGTAAGAGGCAAATCTTCAGGCTTGCAAATTCCCCAGTGGGCTCTGTCACACAGAATGTCAGAGGACATGTCAAAGTGGCTACAAAGAAACAGGAGACAGAATCAAAAACATGAACAGTCAGATTAGACATGACAAAACTGGTAATATGGAATTTTTACTGAAATCAATTTAATATTTCTAAGAAGGTATCTAATTTTAGTGGGAATTATTTTCTTACGTGATATTTCAACACTCAGAAATGCCAAATGTTTTAAAAGTCACAATTTCAAAACAAATGGTGGTGTCGCAGTGGAAAATGTTGACACTTTTTCACTTGAACATCACTGATTCTTGGGGAATATTTCATTCTACAACAGCTGTTGAAGGTGTATCCAACTCTACATGTTGCTCTCAAAAGGAGAGTAGAAGGGGAAGGGGGACATTCTTAGCAAAACAAATGGGGTTTAGGGTACCAGGAGAAAATTGATGCTGAGTAGGAAGGTGAGTTTGTGCAGGAATGATCTGATCTAAAATGCAGTGTCCAACCCCATCTCCTGAACTTGAGCTTGGAGTGAGTGTCAGATCCCAGTGTAACCCTTCCCATCTGTGTTATTCTATTAACTGCAAGGGAAAGGCATTAGCATGTGTCCTTGTCACATCTTTAGACCTGCTGCACACTGAAGGTGACGTTCAGGCAAACAGCATCCTCCCCTCTGCCAGGACAAGCAGGGCTCGGGGGTGGTGTCCTGTGAAAAGAAAAGCAAGCCAGAGCATGTAAAACAAAGTATGAACCCTGTGCAAAAATAAATCCTGGAAGTCGATTTCCAAAGGGGATACCTTAAACAGGGTGAAAGAGAGGGAGAGAGAAAACATTTGAGAGGAAAGTTCCCCTCCCTGCCAAGCAGCAGATGGAGGCCCTGCCCACGGAAGGAGCTGCACAGACAGATCTGACAGGGACCTCTGCCAAGAGAAGGGGGTCCCACTCCCCGTGCTGGGAAAAGCTCAGTGGACGAGAACAGAATGCTCTGAGTGGAACTCCTGCTCCAGAGGAGTGGGATGGAGTGTGGCACAACCCCCTTTATCACAGCAGTGTGGCCCCAAACCCCGACCAGCGCTCGTTTGGGAAGGATGAGACAGTTTGGGGCTTCCCTCCTTCCTTTCACACAGATTCTGTTTCCCCCTCACTCTAAGTTTATAGAGCACATGTGCACACACACAGACATTCCTCATGGCAACAATAATCTGGTTTGCCTCTCCCTCCCCCTGCATTTTATTTTGCTGTGACTGGGACAAGATGAAGTGTTGGATGCTGACACTGATAGAGAATCCATTTGGGGATAGAGGGTTTAATGAAGCTAGCCACCAAAAATCTCTTTCTCAAATGTTTCAGTTAACTTGGCACTAAATTATTCATAGAAGAAGAAATTGAGGGCTTTCTACTCCTGTTTCCTAGATGTCTCTAATTTCTTTGTAAAAGTCCACAGGAATGTATGCACTTACTTTGGGAAAGAAGAAAACAAATTCAGCATCTCCAGGACAAACCAGTCAGTTCAGCAATGAGAAAAAAGACAATTAACTGTATTGCTATCACAGAGAGCCAGAGGAATGGGACAGGATGGCCTGGGCACAGTGTGTTCAGGAAACAGGCTCTTCCAAGGAGGCCAAGCAGGTACACCCTGGTGTGCCCAGCATTGGAATGAGAGCCATTCTATTACTGTTATGACCAAGGCTTGAGCATCTGATGTCAACAGAGTAGACAATTAATACAAAATATTAACCACAACTAAAACCCAGTTTCATTTTTGGATTGTTTTCCCTCCTCAGAGTGTAAGAACATCAATAAATTAGATTGAGTCCAGCAGTGGACTATCAAGAGAGCAAAACAGATGAGAAAGGATAAGGGAGGTGAATTTGTTCAGCCTGAAGAAGAGAAAGATTAAAGAAGGGAATCTAACTGGTGCCTTTCACTCCTGATAGATGGCTACAGAGAGGATCGAGTCCAACTTCTCTCAGATACACACAGTGAAAAGATGAAAGGCAACGCTCTCAATTTGCAACAAGACAAATCCTTACTTCATTAAAAAATAAATCGAAAGGAGGACAGTTAAGTTCTGGGACAGGTTGCACAAAAAGATGGTAAAACACCTAACCTTGCAGATTTTTAAAAGTTGACAGAACATGGCCCTGAGAAACCTTCTCTCCCTTTGAAGCAGCCCCTCTTTTAAGCAGGGGCCAGATGAGCTACAAATGCCAGGTTCAATCTGAACTAGTCCATGACTCAGAGAGGACCAATTATATTTTTTGCATTGGTATAGACAATCACTTTCTGAAATCCCCATCTCCTCCCTCAACCCCAATGTCGTCCTCTGAATGAAAACTTTTTCTTCCACTCCTACAAACCAGGAGAGGAAAAAAGTATTGTTGAAAATAGAGTCTGCCCTTTGTGTTTTCATGGCAGGGATTTTGATTTCCTGTGAGCATCATCATCATCTGTGACAGGCCATGGCTCTTGCACTGTGGAAGAGGCAGAGATGTGCCAGGAGCTGCACAGACACATGGCATCACCAGTGGATGATGGGCATCACTTCTGCACTGACCCACGGGCACCTCAGAAAGTGAGGAAATCTCACTCCCTTCCTTTCTGTCCCAAAGCCAGGGCGTGGATGTGCTCTGGGGACAAAGAGCAGCTCTGCCAGCTCAGCTCACACAGCTCCAGAAAACAGGGCAACAATATTGGCACAGAATTCCCTGACACACAAGGTGGCTCTTCTGGCAGAGCCACACTGGGGGGAGTCTGGAGAGAGCAGAGCTGAGGGTGACACAACTGTCCTGCAGCACAACCAGTGCTGTCAATGAATTCCCCAGCTTGGGAAGGACATCAAACTGCAAATCAGCCACTGGCTGCAGTGGAGCTGGGCTTTTACACTGTTTCTAAGAGCAATATATCCTTTGAGTAGCTAAGTGGTAGCAGTATTTATATATATCTTGTTTGCACCTGATCTTCCCTGATCTCATTCATTACCCGCCAGCCTCTGGGGTGCCTCTAAACTCAGTGCAGACACTGCTCTGCCTCCATCCTCCCTGCAGTCAGTGCTGTTACACAGCTGAGATGAATGGTAAAGAAAAACAAATTGTGCCAGTATTAAATAATTTCAGATTTGTCTGGCTGGCTTATGTGGATGTTGGTGTGAATGAGCAAGTCAAGAGCTGCTCCTCACAAAACAAAAATAAGGTTCATTCAGCATCAGTCTGAGTTCTGAACCATGGTACATCACCATCCAGAACCAGCCAATTGCTATCACTTTGCTTATTCCTTCATACTAATAAAGTCCATCTACACAAACACAAAGTCCTCAGAGAAGTTTCTAAAAGGGGAAAAAAAAAATCAAGCTAAATCAACTCTCAAATTCCCGTGTAAACTGAATTTAAGAGTGGAAAATTTTTTTACCTATTCTTTGGGTGGTACAAAAATCTAAAATTCCTATAGCCCTGCTTCCCTGGGCCAAGTCAAACAAGGATATTGTCCTTTTAATGTCTTAAAGGCTCTGTTTTCTTGTAATGCCAAATGCAATATTTTTTTGAAAACACTACACCAGAAGTTTCCCAGCTGAGAAAACAGGCTGGTGAAAAATGGCTTCAGCAAACGAAATAAACCATGCAAAAGCTGTTCAGGGTGTGTGCATGAAATGAACATCTGGATTTGGCTTGTTAAACTGCCTCGTTTTTGTACCTCTCCTCCCCACTTTTCTTTTTCTCACAGCTGTTCGAAGGAGTCCTAAGGGCAAAGAGACAGGTCAAGGGACTGGGTTACACCTTTTTTTCTTTTTCTTTTTTTTTCCAAACCTCTTTGCACCTACGCAAGGAATCCAGGCCACATGTGTGTTTAATAAGTAGGCACAAACACAAGAGAGAAAAAAAAATATCTCCATTCCTGTTGGTTCTTAGGAGAGACACTGAAGGAAAAATAAACTCCGGATTTCAAATTTTCTCTCTCAAAAAAAGAAACCTTATGGTTCCAATAAAATATTTCTTTAAAAACCCAATGCATTATTATTTTTTTTAAAAATCAGGGGGTTTGCAGAGTATATCTTTTTCTCTGTTCCTTTAGAGAGGAATAACAAAGGGTTAATCCCTTACCTGCTGGAGCAAGAGGAAATTATGAAATGCCAATGGCCTGGGTTCACTGAGCTGAGTCTTCTTATAGCACAAAATAGATACACACATTTACATTGAATGGGTTCTTCATTTCAGGCTGCAACTTCCTCAGCTTGAGCAGTCCAGAAATGAAACAGAGAACAAAAGGAACTGAGAAATTATCTGGAGATGATATTTTCTGAGAAGCAGAAGATTCCGCTTTTCCTGCTGACAGGATGTCCCTGGCACTGCCACAGTGATGGCCAAGAGCACCTTCCAGCTGGGGCAGGGCTGCAGGAGCTCCCTCACCTGGGGCAGGGCTGCAGGAGCTCCTCACCTGGCTCTCAGACCAGGTCCAAGGGCTGAGTTAGGTCTGACCCCAGTCCTAGGTCAAATATCTGCACTCCACGTCCAGCCATCAACCAGGGCTGCCAAGATACCTCCAGTGCACTGACAGTTAACTGCTTGTAAACACCCCAATCCCTCTGAAACAGCCCCAGGACACCCCATTCCCTCTGAAACAGCCCCAGGGCACCTCGAGGAGGCAGCCAGGGAACGAGGGTGGGACCTGAGCAGGCACTGACAGTGACTGTGAGCAAACCCACCCTCTTGATTTAAAGCTCTATTTTCTGCCCAACTGTTCACAGTTTCTGTGCTCCCTGTGCACATCCACACTTGATGCACAGATTTTCAGCTCAGACAGAAGTATTGCACTTGTGGGTAGAGCTACACAAATGCCCACCTGCTGCTGCCCAGAGGTTTGGCACATGCAGCTGGAAGAGTTTGTGACCCTTGTAGCAAACCTGAACCGTGACTATTTACTCCACTTCCTCTTACTGTTGCTCCTCTGAGTTCTCCTTGGGGTTGGTCACAATACTGCAGTCCAGTAAGTACAAAAATAAATCCCCAGATCCTTGGGTTTATTTGGGGAATCTTACTTTGGATAGAAAATTGATGTTGAAAATTAAATACCTGAGCAAAAGCCCTTTGCGAAACACAAGCGCTGGTGCCAGGAAAGAAAGAGTCTTGCTTAACATCAGTGCCATAACTCGGACAAGGCAGGGACATTTTCTGCAAAAAGCCTTTGCACAGGAGCCTCCATTGAAAAGCCAGTGCTTGGCAATAGGGGCTGCATGTACAGACCAGATTAAACACCCAGTGACAGTGCTGAGCCTTGAGAAGTCCTGCCAGAGAGGAGAGGGCAGTGCTGTTTGGTGGTGTAGTGACCAATGACCCTGGATTTGAGGAACATAAATACTACCAAAGGAAAAAAAAAGTGAACAACAAACAAATGGTACATAGAAAAAATATCCCACTGCAATGCCAGCACTGGCTTGCCTGTCAGTCCTGGGTCTGCATGGGATCCATGACAAGAAGACAAATCTAAATCTGAACTAGAGCCCTGCCAGAGGAACTTTTTGCAAAGGTATACAGTGACAGGACAAGGGGGGAATGGTTCAAACTGACAGAGGGTAGGTTTAGGTGAGGTATTAGGAAGACATTTTCTGCTGGGAGGGTGGGGAGGCCCTGGCACAGGTTGCCCAGAGCAGCTGTGGCTGCCCCATCCCTGGAAGTGTCCAAGGCCAGGTTGGATGGGGCTTGGAGCAACCTGGGA